TTTTTTCTCAAAAAAAAACCCTTTTTTTTTTTTAAAAGGGGGGGGGGGGGGGGGGGGGGGGGCCACGGAACAGAGGGATCCCTGTGTCGCGCCCCTCAACTGCTGTGTCTCCCGGGCAACGGGGCGCAATGATGATTTGTCGGGGGGGGGGGGGGGGGAGGGACTTCGACTGTACCTAATGCTAGTTAGAGACATTTTTTTTTTTCGTTGTGGGATTTTTTATGATACGTTTCGGTTTCTATATATTTTTTTTTCTCGTGTTGGTTGTTTGTCCCGGTTTCCGACATGCACACACACGCAGGCTGGCTGATTTGGCGTGTCCGTGCGAAGGGCGCGTGTTCTATCGTGTGTCTGCCAGCCATGTGCGGTTTTATTAGTAGGCTTTTGGGCGGGGGGGGGCGGGGATCGGGAGCAGTGGTTGTGTGTATGTGCGACTGCAGCACAGCGGGCATGAGCATGCTCTTTTCCCCGTTGTGTGTGTTTAGGTTTTCTTTGTCCCGTTCATGAGTGGAGAAAAACTCAACAGTAGCCCGAATATCTCATCGATTCTTTATGTTGGCTGTGATTATACGTTTCGGCGATATTATTCCGTCGTGTGTTTAATCATGTCGAGCCCAGGAGGTTTCCCAGAAAGTATGCAAGGGGCACGAATAGGTTCGTGATGCAGCGGTTTTTATAGTAGAGTATCAGTTCCGTGTGTTAAGTTGGTGGTTTCAAAGAGTCCCCAAGTGAAATAGTACCATATTCATGATTCGGGGACGGGGATGGGGACACCCCGGTCGGCGTTTGGTTGCCGGGCAAAAAAAAATCAGAGTGTTGTGTTTGTGTTGCACAAAAGATGTCCTAGGATCGGTCCGCCTCTGAATGACGATGGAAGGGTTGGATGGGGTGGGGGACGTGAGATGTTTTCTAGGGGCGATAGGGGGGCCTGTGTGAGTGTGCCGCAACTCCGCGGTGTGTGGTTGCTTGCTTTGCGACGTGTGTATGCCAACGCGTGTTTTGTGTAAACGATGTGCGACACAAAGGAAGAGAGAGTAGGCGGTGCCATCGCGTTGCAAAACAAGGGGAGGTAGGGTAACGCTTGCCTCCGCTCTTTCGCGCT